TTTAAACTGTTTTATAAGGTAAACAAATTTTAATCAAATATAACATTATTTTATTTATATTACTTTAATTATAAATAATACAATATTAATTTATTCTTTGAAAATTCTTTTGCGTTAATAGAAATACGATTTAAAAAAAAATAATAATAAATTGATGAATATGATCTGACAATGGCATTGGAAGAAGATATTATCATTAAATAATATTAACAATTATTATTATTATTATTATTCAAGTATAAATATATGCTTACGCTAGATAAGAATAATTTCGAATATAAATGGATTCGCGTGTTTTATTTAAATCGTCTTGACTCGTACAATTCATTTAATTGCACCCTTTCGAGAAAGATAATCATTGTCAATCGTTTGAATAATAATCGAAAATGATATCATTTATGTGCACTTATGTGTTTAGTTTTCCCATCAAGGACATATATTGAATTCTTTTTCATTTTTTTTATTCTTTCTTAACAATTTGTTTTTTTTTCTTTTTTATATATCATTCCTTTCTTATTACTAACGAGTATGCTATTTAATTAAAAAATAAAAGAAAAAAAAATTAAATATCTACATTATTATTATTATTATTCTCTTATTATCCAATATAATTAAAACTTAATTAATGATTTGTTTCTTTTTTTTTTATTGTTAAATGTTATTTACAGGCTAATTGAGACAAGTAGAGAAAAAAAGAAAAAGAAAAGATAAACATGTCAGCTATTATAGAATGGTATAAAGACATAATGTACAATAGAAATGGTAATGTTAATAAATTTATTGTGAATATTAATCATTATCATTATTAATAAGATGATAATATATGCATCAGATAATTAACAAGTTACATCTTTCAGATCCTCGAACGAAAGATTGGTTTCTGGTTTCCGGACCAGGCCCATTATTTACTATTCTGGTTACTTATTTATATTTTTCTATATCCGCTGGACCTAGGTATATGAGGGAGAAAAAACCATACAATTTGAAAAATACATTGATAGTTTATAATTGTATTCAAATAATAATGAGCGTTTACATCGTTTACGAAGGCCTCATGTCAGGATGGTGGAATCAATACAATTTTTATTGTGAACCAGTTGATTATTCGGATGATCCAATTGCATTAAGGGTTGGTTTGTATACATAATTGATAATTGTTTACTTTTTTCTTTTTTTTTTTTTTTTTTT